TTCATACTTTGTACATTTTAAGCTCTGATTATTAATGGATTCTTACAGCTGCTCCTTCTCATTTTGAGTTGTGCCCCATTAGCAAATGAAGGTTCCAAAAATTTTACTCCATTTGTGTCATCATGGTCAACTTTAATTTGAGGAGGCTGCTCTTCCCTAGTCATATATGAGTGCTTTCCAACCCGAAGGGCTGACCTTCTAGCATTATATCTAACAATGTTCCACTGCTATTCATAAGTATTTCTGTGGGTAGACATTTAGAAATACTGACCCTCTTCTTCCTGGTCTGTCTTAGTCTGGAAGTTCACTGAAATATGTCCATCAAGGGTGATTTTGCTGGTATCTAAAATGGCATAGCTTCCAGCATCACAGCAATATGCAGGCCAACACAAACTGACAGACAAGTGATGGGCATGACAAACTGACAGACAAGTGATAGGTCTCAGCTTATAAACACATAAATATTAATTTGGTATAAACTGAAAATAGAAAGTATAACCAGAGTATTACGTTTCTATAATTCACTAGTTCCCCTGATTCTCAAGTGTAAGTTCCTTTTTTATCATTTCAATCCATGCTTACTGGAAAAAGCTAACTTATTGCAAATAGAAAGGACTGAAGAATTTTATTGACAGCAGCCATTTTTATATTATTTTTTGTTTTTTTAAACAAGTCAACCTCAGATGGCATACGGAGAGCATATTTTAATAAGCCAGAAAGTCAGCTCATTATCACCCCTTCTAGCAAGTAAACCTTTCTTAATTCAAACGTAAAACTCCCCAAACAGGTTTCATAGCAGTGTATTTTCTGTGACATGAACACAGCAATAGAGTACTTATCACACAATGCACTTACTTGTCCCACGTAATAAACGTTGCTCTCTGCGTTGAAATGCCCAGACCAACAATTTGTTTCATCTCTATTCCTGCAGCTAAAAGCAAAGATACATAAAACATGTACTTAAAAGCCAGTGGTGCACAAACACACACACAAAGTCAGTGGCACAGCTAATTCTTAAATGTTAAACCAAAAATATCTCCTGAAACCATCTGAATCCTAAGCAATGGTTTAGGCTTAACTACTAAAAGAGGTCTGCCTTGAGCATTATGCTCAATTAAGAATTGTCTGTAAGGGACCAAATTGATAACACAACTTGAAAGACTAGATAGGAGGCTTAGAGGGAAGGAGTCTACATTAATGAGAGAGGAAGAACTCAGAAAAGAAGAGCAAGAATAGTTGCACTACTGGAAGAACGTGATCAGCATTACTATATAGCACATCTTGAATTAGTGTGTTTTCTGTGAGTATTCACAACAATGAAATTAATAACATTTAGAAAAAAAAGTCAGTGCCACTTTTCTTTACAATGTGAAAAAGAAACTGTTCAATATAATCTTTAAGAACAACACCTAGGTTTAGCTTAACATTTTAACAAAACAACTACAGCTTGTAAAGCATTGTCAAAATAGTTTTGTAGATTTTTTATTATTCAAGAAATATAAAGGTCATTCTAATGATAAGAAAATGATCTTCCTACTCAAAATGTAAAAAAATAAGCAAACACTACTCCAAGTAAGTCAGATTGTGTTTTGTTCTTCATAATACTAAGAGATTGGATCTGAATTTAGGCAACAATCAACCCAACTAGATGCTGTTTGATGGCAGTGAAGGAAAATCCCCAGGAAAAATATCATACTTACTAAAGTTGAGATCTTAATTTCCACAGACTTATGCTAGATGGCAAATAAAAACATGACCACACCCCCTACCGCCTTAAATTTTTAAAAATATACTTCAGCAATGAGTGCTTTTAAAAAATATTCTTTTGAAAAGTAGTTTATCCCACTACTGGGACAATTTGAAACAACTTCGGTTTCAGCACTGAGAAGACATATTGTCATGTACACAGAACAATGTCCAAAAATGCTTAACCTAAATCTAATCATAAGCAACAATTTGACAAGCCCAGACTCAGGGATGATCTACTAAACTGGCCTGTACTTCTGAAGACTGTCAATGTTATAGTATGGTCTAGGTAAAAGGAAACTATGCAGGCTAACAGTTAAATGCAATGCCTCATCTTTGATTTGATCCTGGATTTTTAAATAAAAACATCAATTGTTAAATTGTTAATGACATCAAGACAAGAAGAGAACATTGAAGATTGACTATAGAAAAGTATTGTATGCCACTGAGTCAGCATTAATAGTAATAATATATAGGGTTTCCAAGAACAGCTGGCTGATTTGAACTGCTGACCTTGTGGTTATCAGTCCAGTGCTTATCCTATAGCACCACACCAGGGCTCATTATAAAATGTTGTTGTTAGTGCCAGTGAGTCGGTTGTGACTCACAGTGGCATTGTGTAAGGTTTCCAAGGAGCAGCTGATGGTTTGAACCACTAACCTTGTGGTTAAGTAGTCCAGTGCTCATCCTACTGTGTCATACCAGTATTGTATTGGTAATATGTTTCCTAAGTTTGATCATCAGGTTGCAGTTACATGAAAGAATATCCATTCTTTCCAAAGAATACTGAAGGAATAAAGGTTGTAATGTCTACAACAACTTCACAAATGGCTCAGGAAATAATTACAATTTGTTCAGAATGGTAAACACTGCAAAAACACAGGTGAATCTAGTAAACGGGTATAAAGGTATTCACTGTACTATTGTGGCAAGTTTTAAAAAACAGATTTTGAAATATTTCAAAATAGAAAGGTATAAAGGAGAAGCAACTCAGCCAGGAAAAAAAAAAAAAAAATGACCTAAAAGTTCTTTTAGAATTTACATTTACCAAATCATCTTTGAAAATGTTCTTGAAAGCAAAAATTTTAGAACACAGTTGTGGACAGGGCGGTATTTTATAAAAAGTGCCTACACAGAAAGAAACAAAACAAAAACTTATTTTACAATGAAGGTAATTCAGTTGTAAACTCATGAGATCAGGAACTGTGCGCTGTAACTTTGTTTATAGCCCTCTGCTATTTTGTACATGTGGAAATCAAATCAGCACTTGCTAGAACCTCCAGTAAAGGACGAACTTTCACATTGCATCTGGGAAAAAAGAAAACTTAAAACAAAGGACACAGTTGCGATTGCCTGCCTTTCAGAGATAGATCCTGGTGCACTGTAAACCACAAACGTCCCCTATAAAAACTGGCAAACAAACACCCATCTGCAAACTTGGTCAAGATGATGGTAAACTGCCCTTTAGAAAACTCCATGAGCATTTGCTCCCTTTCAATTTCAAGGCACCATCAAATAGAACAATCTCCTGCACACTTGCAAAGCCTTAAGGATCATTTCTGTTTATGCTCTTTTAAATTCTGTGAACCAGTTCTGATTGTCTTTGTCAATCTCATTTGACTCCCTACAAGCTACATTGCAATAATTTCAGGTTTTCTGTTTCTTTTTTTAAATTCTGAAGCTACCTGTTGTTGTTGTTGTTGTTGTTAAGTGCCGTGGAGTCAGTTCCGACTCATAGCGACCCTGCACAGGGTTTCTGAGGCTGTAAATCTTTACAGGAGCAGAACACCTCATCTTTCTACCGCGGAACCGCTGGTAGTTTCGAACTGCTGATCTTGTGGTTCACAGCCCACAAGATGGTTCGTAAACACTACACTACCAGAGCTCCTGTTAGATGCTGAGATTCCATCAACATTTAAAAGTTTTGCCATTTCCTTCACTTTTGCTTGCAGGATAGGTCCTGAAATAGGAACATTTCTGGTGCAGCTTTGAAGAAACCACTAAAAAACAGATTTTCTGATTTCTACATAGTTTCCTACCCTTTCCTTCTTGCTACAGTGCATATATTTTCAATTATTTTATCACTGTCTTCATAATAAAGTAAATCTGCATTAAAAACAAACAAACTGGCAAGCAGCGACCCCAGTAAAATACAGTATGTATACAAAATTATACCTTAGGAAAACCACAAAATAATTCAGAAGCTGAAGAAACATTCCTACTTATCAACAAAATATGCTTTAGGGACTATTTTTATTTTTATAAATCCAAATACCTTTGACAGCTTCTTTTATTACAGCAACAAATTGAACCCAGAGGACATCAGGATCAATTTCAACCCATCCAGTTTGAGGATAAAGACTTTCTACCTATTGACGAAAAGAAAAGATTTAGTAACAACAACATTAGATCAAGTCAGTAGTAACTGGGTCTTAAGACTAGTTAAAATAATTACCAGCATAATTTCATTTATTATCTAATGGCTCTTCCTTGTTAAAATAGAAATATATATGTGTGTGTGTGTGTGTGTGATAAAAAAAAAGAGAAAAACACACAAAATAACCAGTTACATCTTTAGCTCATGAACTTACCAATGATTTTATATATCTTCTTTTTCTTTATCTTTATTTTCTTTCTAAGTTTTCTGAAATGAAGATGTGTCACTTTAAAAGAAAGGTTTCAAGAAATAAGAAAAAATTATATGTGTATAAAATTCTTAAAATAAAGCAGTGACCTCTGATACCAGCTATCATGGAGTAAGCACCCACCTGTCTCTCTCTGAATATGTATTTAAAGCCTGGACAGAAGGCAGGGAGCAGACATCTGAGGACCATAAATGGTAAACAGTACAGGGAGGTATGCAAGGGCTAAAGGGGATAGAGGTAAATCGTGGCATATACACCACCTTGGAACAACTATGCTATGTGTTGATATATGAACAGAGACACAGGCTGAATGGGTATGTGAGAAAGAGTGGAATAGATACATAGTTCTATATCCCACAAATACATGAGTCTGAAAGAGGATATTTGTACATGGGTAACCACGGGGAGGAAGTGGGACAACTGTTGTTGCAATGGAGGGGATTGCAATCATTGAGATGAAACAAAGTATATGATTGTTGAATGTAAAACTGGTCATCTTGTCTGTAAATCTTCACTCAATTCACAAGAAAAAGTTTTAAAAATAAAAATAAATAAAATGTCAACAGTAGCGGGTGGGATGGGGAGAATCTGAGCACCACCAAACTGGTAGGCATCTCTCATTTTTCTTTTGGTGTTCCCTGTTGTTGTTATTAAATGCCATTGAGTTGGTTCACACCCATAGCTAACCTGTATAGGGTTTCTGAGGAGCAGCTAGCAAGTCCCTTAGACTAGACTTAAAGCATCCAGAAAAATGGAAGTCGAGCACCAAAGTGAAAAGATAACTGCAGGAGAAGCTCTTGTGTTTTTTGGGCTCACAGAAGAAAAAAGTGAACTCCTAACACTCAGAGAGGATTGGAGGCAACTTGCCTCTCCCCTTACTTATTTTTGCTAGGGATTCTCCTGTAAGGATAGCTGTAGGAGTCAGAGTGGGGTCAGTGGGATCTACAAGCATCTAAAATGCTTCCTCTCCAGGAAAGCAAGATTCCCTCTTTGACCAGAGGAGCTGTGACCCCAAGAGAGAGAGGTGACCCTGCATGGCTCTTTCTTTTTACATTTTATTGTGGTAAAATATACATACATAACATTTACCATTTTAATCACTTTTAGTGTACCATTCAATGACCTTCATTACATTCATAATGTCATACAACCATCACCAGTATTCTCCCTCCCTAGCCCTGGTCTATGTGTTTGACCATTCTAGACATTTCATGTAAGTGGAAACACACAATACTTTCCTTTCTGTGTCTGGATTATTTTATACAATATATAACATCTTTAAAGTGCATTCATGTCACAGTATGTAAAAGAACTTCATTTCTCTTTATAGCTGAATAGTAGTTCATTCTGTGTATATACCACATATTGTTTACCCATCCACCTATTGGTTGGGTGCTGTTGTTAAATATTGTCAAGTGGGTTCTGACTCATAGCAAGCCTGTACAGTCTCTGACTGTGGTTAGCTGTCCAGTGCTTACTTATCCTACAGTGGGTTATTTCTACATTTTGACTATGAACAATGCTACAATAAATATTGTTGTACAGTGATCTGTTTGAATCTCTACTTTCAAAGAGTTGGGGTAAACACCCAGGAGTGGAAATGCAAAGTCCTAAGGAATTCTATGTCTAATTTTTAGGGCAACCACTAACCCGTTTTCTACAGGAGCTTTGGTAGCGTAGTGGTTACGAATTGGGATGCTAACCTGAAGGTCGGCAGTTCGAAACTACCAGTGGTTCCATGGAAGAAAGATGAGGCGTTCTGCTCCCATAAAGATTTGCAGCCTCGGAAACCCTGTGCAGGGTCACTAGGAGTGAGAACCGACTCCACGGTACTAAACAACAACAACAACTAAACTGTTTTCTACAGTCAGTGTCTCACCATTTTACATTCCCACCAGCATTGCATAAGGTTGTGATTTTTCCACATCCTTGCCAGTTCTTATTATCTGACGTTTTGATTCTAGCCATCCTAGAGGGTATGAAGTGGTGTCTCATTGTGGCTTACATTTGCACTCTCATAATGACTAATGATAATCATCATGGTTTTTTTTTTTTTTCTCTCTCTGTGTGCTCCCACTGCTTGGCATTAGATGTGGGTGTAGTAACAGGAAGTGAACAGCAAAATGAGGTAGCTAGATTTCCAGATTTCTGACCAGAGGAGAGAGCAAGAAGGACAGACTAAGGGAAACAAAAAGTACCAGAGTTACTTCAGAGAAGGAGGAGTTTGGGAAAGCCAACCCGCAGAGTTTTGTACTATGAACACCTGGACTCATGACCACGTAATTCTAAACAGCATATCAAAGATGTTGAGAACAGAAAAAGGACCAGTCCACTGCCTATGACATATGTGCAGAACAATTCTGAACAGCATTGGAAAGATTTAGAAAACAGAACTTAACACTGACATCATGACTCACAGAACACTGGCGACAACTTGTAGCCTAAACCCGACTGTATCAATTACCTACTAAAAGTAAAACATCAACATTGTTCACACAATTTACATAAGACACGAGTCCTGTAACCAGTATCAAAAGGTCCACAATAGCATGGAAGGAATTGTTTAAGGGCATGGGATTTCTTTTTAGGATATAAAAATGTTATGGAACTAGACAGCAAATATTGTGAACTAAATGGCACTGAACTGCTCACATCAAAATAGTTAGTCTTACATTAAATAAGTTTCAGCTCAATAAAAATATATTAAAAATGTCCAAGATACAGTACCAAATTACAAGGTATATGAAGAAACAGGAAAATCTGAACGCATATGGGATTGTTGTTGTTGTCAAGTGCTGTTGAGTCAATTTCGACCCACAGCAACCCTGCATAGGGTTTCCAAGGAGCAACTGGTGAGCATGAACCACCGACCTTGCAGTTCAAATGGCTTTGCAGTCTGAAGCATTAGCCCACAGTGCCACACCAGGACTCCTATAACATCACAATTCTGCTGTTGCTGCTGTGTGCCGTGGAGTCAGTTTCGACTCCTAGCGACCCTGTACAGCGTTTCCAAGGCTGTAAATCTTTACGGGAGCAGAACACCTCATCTTTCTCCCGCGGAACAGCTGGTAGTTTCAAACTGCTGACCTTGTGGTTTGCAGCCCGATTCCTAACCACTTCGCTACAGTATGCAACCATTAATGGATGTGTCTAGGAATGCTGGGAAAGGGAAGTGACAGTCAATATCTACCAATGCCAAGCTGACCCAAATATCTAACAAAACCATGAAAGAAGCTATTATAAAAAAGCTCCAAACAGTAAGGGTGAACACTCTTGAAATAAACAGAAACTCAGATAGTCTCAGCAAAGGTACAGAAGATATAAAGAAGAACCAAATTGAAATTTTAGAATTAAAAAATACAATAATAAAAATTAAATTTTTACTGGATAGGCTTAATAGCAGCAGAATGAAGATAACAGAAAAAAGTCAATGATTTTCAATCTTTCTTGTCTTCTTAATGACCTTCAGCTTTCTTCCTGCATGACTGTATGATGCTCTTGATATCATCCAACAACTCATCTGGTCTGCGGTCATTAGTTTTTAATGCATCCGAACTGTTCTTGAGACAGGTTTGCATGGGCTGAATGGGACAGAGGTAAATAGTGATGTATACTCAACTTTGGGACAACAGGGTTCTGTGATACAGAGATCGAGGCATAGTCTGAAGAGGGGAAATAGTAATAAGATGCTTGACTGTCTTATGAATACTGGTTTCCTTGCCTATTATTGTAAAATAGATACTTGAGTGGGATAGAAAGGGAAACATGATTACAGAAATCTTGTAAGCTCGTCTTCAGCCTATAACTGATTACTGTTGTTAGGTGCCATTGAGTTGGAACCGACCCATTAGCGACCTTATGCACAGCAGAATGAAACACTGCCCAATCCTGGGCCAACCTTACTATTGTTGCCACACTTGAGTCCATCGATGCCTCTACTTGGCCAATCCATCTCGTTGGGGGTCTTCTTCTTTTTCTCTGACCCTCCACCTTACCAAACATGATATCCTTCTCCAGTGACTGGTCCCCTCTGACAATATGACCGAACTGACTGGAATACCTAAAAGGGGTTCTACAACTTGTCCAGTGAAACAGGCTTCCTGAGGAGCCTTTACAGTCTATAGGACCTTAGGTAGAATCCTGAGCCCCATTCAGAACCTTATGACGTGGGACATTCCAACTAAAAAGGACAAGCAGACCAGCCTGGAACAGTTAGAGCAACAGAAGATACATCTTGAAAGAAAGATCAGCAGGTAAAAAACAAAACAAAAATGGTAGTATGACTGGCTATTACAAGAACAAGCACATTTTTCACCAGGAAGCCATCAAAGCAAGCAATCAAGTCCCTTTAGGACAACCCCCCTCCCCCCCAAGACTGAAACTAAAAGGGAACACATGAGCAGGCATGTAAACTTGCTGGTGACCACATTGGTCTACTAGTGAGTGGAAGAGGGGGAAAGGTTCCATAGACGCCCTCCCATTGACCTGGCGAAGAGAAAGAGAAGGGGAAGGGCTGATTGGTCCGAAGTGTGGTGAGACCTGGGACTCTAGATTCATGGAAAGAGGGAACTGAGAGCTGGCCGCCAGGAGCCAGGCTTGCAGAATGTGCCCTTTGGTTGTTTAAATTATTATATATTCCTGAGTGTTTCTGTGTACATACTCCCACCCTCCAAACAAAATAAAAGAAAACAGAGGGAAATTTTTTTTAAATTTTTTTAAAAAAG